TTTATTTTTTTTGTGTGCGCACCTTGAGAAAAAAGTTATTTGATCTTTTTGGTATTTTAATTGTATGCACTTGTTAATTAGGTGTTACATAGACTATTCCGCGCACACAAACAAAAAAAAAAGCATAAAGAAACTATATCACCATGATAATAATAACCTCTCAATTACCTATTTCAGTGGTCATATCAAAAGCCAACAAAGTGTATTTTCAGTAAAAGTTTGGCCGTCAATCAAAAACAGAACTACTCAGTTTTCTAAAATTTCGGGACAAAATGATTTACCTGATTATTAAATCAACAAATGTTTAGCATAACCACGATATTGAAGTGGCACTAATATATAAGGTTGGTAACAGAGCAAAAGAATTCAACTTTTACTTCTACTTGTGAAAAGAACCCCACAATGTTTCTTCATATTTATTTATGGATGAGAAATGATTTCTTCTACGTCACGTTATGTCCTGCAAGAGTATTTCACTTATTAACTTAAAGTCAATAGCAAATATGACTCAGAAAACCAAAAGTTTCATACCTTCAAAGAAAGTTGAATCGACCAGGAGGAACATTCGGGCTTCAGAACTAAGAACCGGATCGCGAAGCGTGCTTTTCATCGTTGCCTTGTCCGTCTTCTGTCCAAAAGGTTTTGAGGATCTTCGCAGCTTTTTGGTTAACATCATTGTTGTCATGACAGTGAAGATTCTGAATCTTCTTATGTCCTTCTGCTTCGACTATCATTGAAGCGTAGACGTTAGCTTGACCCAAGTTCTTCTCTGCTTCCCCAACCCTGAGAATGCTTTCTAATGCTACTAAGCTAGCAGTTATGATGCTTGGATATTGGCAGGCAAGAAGATTGCATATCGGATTGATACAGCCTTGCTTCACCAGAAACCTGAGAAGAAACAAAGAAAAAAGACATGTTTCATATCTGATCTTTCATTTTTAATGGAAACATTTAGTTTTAGATATTGTTTTGGAGTTTTACTTGATTTTATTATGAGTAGCCTTTGAGATCTCACAAGCAGCTTCTTCTTTTACTTCAAAATATGCTGTCTGAAGCACCGCAACAAGAGTCTGGTCATCATTACCGGTTACAATGTTTCCAATGGTATGAAGGGCAGGAATCAGTACTAATGGCGACGAATGACTAAGAAGAGGAACAAAAAAAACACACAATTTAGATAGATAGCATAATCATGCCATAAAAATTAAAATCATAATAATGCATTACTTACGATATGAGCTTGATGAGGTGAGGAATGATGCCTGCATTGATAACTGCCTCTCTTCTGTCGTTTGAACCATCAGAGAGGTATGACAGAGCCGAACATGTCTTTGTGAGAACCTCTTCGTCTGTTGATTGCACAAGGCGCTCAAGAACCGGTAGAGCTGGTTTTGTCTGCTCAGAAATGTAAACAAACCACAAATTAGGAAATGCTCAGAAATGGAAAGAACCCACTAATAAGGAAAATGCTTGGAAATGTAAAGAAAATGCCTAGCAATATCTCAGGCAGAGTCCAAAATAGTGACAGATGATACAAACTGATTGAAAAAGATATTAAAAAAAAGCTTAAAAATCGTAAAGATGAACTAGTAACACAACAGAACTCAAGTCAACGCTACAAAATAAGTAAAGATTAAGGTAAATCTCCCTTCTTAAGGCAAGAACAAGTTATCACAAGGATCCAGTAGTCATTAGAAACCTAAAGAAATGCTCAGAAATATATTACACAGACTCACAAATCAGGAAATGCTCAGAAAATATAAAGAAATCACAAATAAGGAAATGCTCAAAAATGCAAAGAAGCCACAGATCAGGAAATGCTCGGAAATGTAAAGAAATCAAGTCAACGCTGCAAAACAAGATTAAGTTAAAGCTCCCTTCTTTAGGCGAGAACAAGTTATCCAACTAGCAAAATTTTTGAGTTAACTATATAAACGGGTCAGACTGAAGATTTCAAGAGAAATCAGAGAAGAAACAAAACCTGTTCAAATGAAGGCTTTGGTTTTCCACAGCAGAAGTTTGATAGCGTCCATGCAGCATTCCTCAGCGCTTGTGGCTTCATAGGATCCTTGAATTGAGAAAGAAGTGGGGCCATGGCGTTCTGACTTAACACAAGATTGCGGTATTCAATGGAACCTCCAGCAATATTTCCTAAAGCCCCCACCACCTACATTTAGCATATACCTCAGAATAGTGAAAATACACTTTATAAAGAGTTACAAGAGTCCTTGACATACCATCGCGCGGACATCTTTCCTAGCAGATCCGAGGAGGTGGACGAATAGTGCGATAGCACCATTTTCGACAATAACTTTCTGGTTCTCTGAAGCAATGTGGGTAAGCGCCCAAGCTGCCTCATACTAAACACGAATATAAATGAACAAGACACATTTTAAAATCTAAAGTAAAGATAAATTATTGATGAAAATGGGATGCTTCTCACCTGAAGTTTGGATAACACAGTCCGTATGAGGTTTATATTCTACAGAAAGCAAACAATATGTAACCAACCAAGTTGTTCACTGATATAATACCTAATGATAAATCACCAACCCGTTGAAACCATTTGACGCACGATACTCGTAGCTCTAAGCTGCGAATCACTGTCTTCTGCCCAAATCCCAGCAAGCAGAAGTTGTAAATTATCCAATAACTACGATACAAACAATTACAAAAGAAAACTATTAAAAAATCCAACCAGTACAAATCAAGCATATTAAACCAAGAAATCGATCTCCAATCAGAAACAGCATACTATCTTCGTGGATGATGGATGTCCTCCGCCCGGTGGTACGGAATCCCGGAGACGGCGTCTCTTCTTCGTCACCGGTCCCTTTTCCGTCGGATCATTCTCCTCATCTTCGTCCGTTTTCAGTGTGGTTCCCTTTTGCGTCTGGTCATTCTCATATTCGTCCCATTTCCGTGTGGTTCCCGTTTGGCCGCTCTGTGACATCGTCGCTTGATCGATGAATTTTGATTTCGCGAAAAGACGATTCTGTTAGTAAACCCTATCTGTGTATCCGGAAAAAATCTTATCTTATATATATTATATAACTTGGGTTCTGTTCACTGTCTGCTTGACACGTGTCTCTATTTTTAAGTGAATCAAACAGTTGCCATTTACGATACTGAACAAGCGTCTTTGTCTAATACGGGCCTTTTGGCCAAAGACGTTCTTTGCAACCGATGCATCTTGTCCAGTATAGTTAAATTTCCACCTTTTTAATTGCATTAAAGCTATTTTAGAAATTTCATTTTATATACGTTTCGTGACGGTCTCCGCACTGTGATTATTGACGTTGACTGCGAGGAAGACTCCGACGACAAATCCGTGAGGTTATTCTCTTTCCCATATCCTCAAGAATTATTATTTATAACCGAATGTAGCACCGACACGGACCCGGTCGGATTCGTTCTCGCTGGTGATGATTGACACAAAGGTTTGACATGTTAAATATGAAGAAACACATGTTCGAGAGGGTAGGAAATGCCTTCGTAGATTATGACCCATACACAAGTTACCAATTAGAAGTTTAGAGATATGGTGCAGATGATGACGGTTTGGACATTCAGAATACGTCTCCAAGATTCGGAAATGTTGAAATGTGCATTTGGATGTAAGCTCTTGGTCGTGGTTTCATAATTCAACATCCACTATGTGAATAAAAGAAAAAGGTTTTCGTGGACGTATGTATTTTTCCATACGTAAAATCTAAATATCTCTCCACATGGATACTTGGATAGAACTCTCGAGGATATGACTGAGTATTAAAGAAGCATGACACAATTGTGTTGCCAGCAGCTTGATGGATTGGTTTATAAAATATAACCAAAAACACATAGGTCAC